CTTGCCTGGTACTCTACCAAGATCTCTATGACAAGTGAATTTAAATCCCAGGTCTTTATTTTTCACCAAAATAAGGGACCAACTGCTCACCCTCTAATGACACAGAACTATGTTCTCCAGGTTCAGGATGCAGATTTAGAGTCTCTGCCTTCCGCAGCCATTTCCCAAGCCTGACATTTCTTCTGAGGAGGCTAGAAAGAATTCATCTAGAATGTTGGGAACTGAGAAGTCAACTGATATTCAGTCTAGCTTCTCGCTTGATGTGGTAGACTTTCTTTGGTATCCAAGACACCTGCTGAATGAATATTTCTCAGGTGAGCTTAATTTGGTCTCCCTAAGTTGTTCACCAGTTGGTTCTTGTTCTCTGAAAGCTGACTTGCTGTGTGGTTGTTTTTCAAGTGCTAGTAAATAGAACCTGTGTTTTAGCACTAGCTCCTCCTCATCTTTAACCTTATAAACTCATTTTTTGCTTTGCTTTTTCACCTGTAAAATGATAAAGCCTTATTTGCACTTTGGTAAGTGGGCAAAGATAGTAAGCAGCTATTGAATACTTGCTGCTTTGCAGATACTGTGCTGAGACATTTATATACACTGAGTTATTAATATTCCCAACCCAATAAAGTTGGTGGTTTATTCCAATTTTACGGAGGAGAAAATTGAAGCTGAGAAGATTAAATACTTTACCCAAAGTTCATACAGAGAGTAATAGAACTAGAACTTGAACCCAGGTCTGCCTGGCCAGCTGTAAGTTCATACTTTGAAAAGCACTTAGTAAATTTCAATTATTCAAATATCTAATTTTTTTTTCTCTAGGTGAAGCATTTTCCATTTTCTTTGACTATTCTTAGATGGGATATCATTTCGCTATCCAATTTCACTTGTATTTCACAGTGTTTCTCTAGCTCAACACATGTACTTTCTACCAGGTTTCTGAATCCAAACAAGCTAAAGTTTTATCATCCTACCCCATACGCATCAAAGGTCAGACTTGCTGAAACTTGTGTTTGAGGCAAATGAGTCAGTGTAGAATCTGAGTTCAATATCTTTTTTTATTTATTTTTGCAGTGCTGGGAATGGAACTCAGGCCCTTGCATATGCTAAACAAGTGTTCTACTATTGACCTACATCCCAGCCCCTTTGTTCAACACTTTTAGAAAGATTCATAAGGAGGAAATGAGGTGCATATTCACCATTTCTCTTGCAAAGAAAAGCTACCTAACTGTATTTTAAAGATCTAATCCTAACTGTATTTTAAAGACCATGAGTCTGACAGAGAAAATGATCAGTGTTCAATGGCCTAGAGAGAGATCATCCTTTTTGTCTGCACAGTTTAACCATAAAATAAAATTTCCAAATGCTGAATGAAGAACATGAGTGGAACAAGCATGGTCACAGTGAGATCCATCTGTTTATTTAAGACATTCTCATGCTGGCTAATGGGCCCCTGAGCTAAGTGTAATTGTAAGATTAACAAAAGAAGCAGGACATTGTTATTTTTTCAGATGTTAGAGCTTTTCTGGTTCTAAATGAAAAGGGTATTGCTAATTTTATTTCCTTTACTACTACTTTGTTTTTCTATTTTGGGCCAAATCTAGATGAAAGGATGTTTTCTATTTCACATTTAGAACTCTTCATTTCAGACGTCAAGCCTCTAGAACTGTGGGAGAATAAATCTCTGTTGTTTAAAAAAAAAAAAGAAGAATGATTTTCTCTTCAGGAAGAGTTGAGAAAAAGAATTACATGTAGTAATAGCCAGCTCATTATATTTTTCTATTAAAATGTCATTCAAAATAGTTTGTTATAGGTAACATATGAACAGAGGGACTAAAAATGATGAGTTTTCTTGATGTAACTGGTTGAATGCAAAAACAAAGACAAATATTTTACAAATGAAATCAGTATACGGTATCTTTCCAGAGAGAATTTATCTAAACTAGTATGCCTGTCAATCCTTTTATGTTATTTGTTTTTGTTTTTTTTTGTTTGGGTACTGGAGATTGAACCCAGGGGCGCTCTACCACTGAGCTACATCCTGAGCCCTTTTAATTCTTGAGGTGGGATCTTGCTAAATTGTCCAGATTGGCTTCAAACTTGTGATACACTTGCCTCAGCCTCTAGAGATGCTGGGATCATAGGCGTGCATTATGTGCCTGGATCCTTCATGCTGTTTGAAATAGCTTCAGTTCTTTCACACGTTTGTATCAGGAATTGCTGTACATAAGCTTATTGCCTACCTCCACTCCACTGAATGCAAATTCTAGGCCTTGTTTAGTTATCCCCAGTGCATATAGCACTGCACATAGTAGGCACACAATATTTGTCAAGTGAATGAATCCATTTTTGAAAACATAAATTTGTTAACCACATATTCTAGGCTAGATTATTCCTTTATGTTCTTTTGATTTGTTACATTGTTTTTACTGTGGTTCAGTCTATCTCTATGACATATTTTTTCCTTTCTCACTGTAGATTTATTTGTAGATGCAGTTTCAATTTGTGCTGTATTGTATATTTAAGAACATTTTTCAAACCCTTAATATACTAGTGTTTAGTGTGAGGTGTATTGCAACTAGTGTTTGCTATTAAAGTAATGAAGCTTATGGATTTATTTTTAAAGAAAATAGCATGGATATAAATGTTTTCTTCTTCTCCTTCTCCTCCTCCTCCTTCTTTTAATTACATTACTGACTTGTGTTTTCTTGAGCAAGAGAGATAGGAGGGGGTTGCCAGGACTTGTTCTTAACTTTGGTTGCCTAAAAACAAGTATGCTGAGAAGAAAGACTGAGATATGTTGCTCTCTAGAGTTTTCTGCTGCCTGGGCTGAGGGGTGAGATTAAGAGGAGTGAATCCTTGATTTATCTGAAGTCCAAGCATGTACTGTACAAGAAGACCTCATTAACTAGGCTTAACTGTTAACTAGGTTTAGGCTAAAGCATATGGTTAAGCCTGATGGGTGGGTGGGACACAGTGCCAGGCACCTTGGGGGTGCTCGGTAAACATGGACTGAACTTAGTCATAATGCCGAGCCTGCTACCAGTACTTTTGTTTCATTTGGCAACCCATATAGGGAGAATAGCAATCAGTACTGAAGCTGAAAGGTCTGGCACAGGTATCTAGGAAAATTATTTTATTTCTTTATGTTTTTGGGAACTTACTGGGAGGAATGAATTTCTTCATACCCTGAAAATCACAGGTCCTATTGTTTTGGCCTTGACATGGTCATGAAATATGTTTGCATTAAAGGAAGAATTTATAGGAAACTTGTGTCCATGTTGAATAATTTAAGATGGATTTGTTATTCATACATCCCTTTCTAATTGTGTGTGTCTTTTTTTTTCTTCTTACATTAAAAAAAGTGTTTGAGGCCAGTGTAAGTTCTGACTTATAAAATCCAGACTATCACTAGGAACAATAAACTTTACCAATGTCATGACAAAATGACTTATCAATCCAGGAGTTAGCAAAAATATTTTGGTTTGTTCTTATGAAAAATTATTTTTTAATATGGCTAATGTATTTAAAGTATGAGAGTGCAAATATTTACATAGCAAATGTACTTAACCTCCCAAATTAAAAACATTAGGGGACCGTATGTCTCCTTATGGGTTCAATAAATAGACATGAAAATATTTTGTTTTATAGTCACACATTTTATTACAAATTTATTTTGTATCCAATAGAAAAGCAAATTTGGAATCTATTTACAAGTATTATATATTTACATATATTACATACAGTTGATGAATTTAAAGAAAATGGACAGAGAAACAATATATATGGAAGGCTATGCCACTGTACATGGTTTATTATCATGGTCTTTAATGTCACTGACTCTTTACTGTAATAAATACAGTTCTATATTTACACATCTTATAAAACATCTCATAAATGTATTTTTTTAAATTCCAAGTTAAAACATCTGATCAAAATAAACATGCTTATATAAAAATAAATCTACCTAATAGCTTTTTGGTTTGGGTATAATGAAACTAATGTAGGATAATAGAAGTTAAGACTTAATCCTTTGACTCTTCATATTTAATAATTTGTCTCTTATAATATCTAACACATGTATTAATATGGAATAATCAGAGGAGTAATGTTCCTCACATCAAGTGGTTGATCCAGAGAGAATGTAGCTAAAACCAAGGTAAATAAACAAGATAAAATATTACCAAGTCTCTATTGAGTCCAAGGCATTGTCCAAATTGTGGCCAGAGGGACTAGAAATACATGCATGAGAAGTTTTATGGGTGGACTTAATTTTTGTTATGTATGCACTTGATCATTATCTTAAGGTGCACATCCATTGAATCAATGATAAAGTCTTTTACAAAAAATGTGCACTCAATCAGAAATTAAAAAAAAAAAAATCCCACATGCTTGCTATCTTTTCTAGATATGTTCACTGCCTGCAATGGACTTCCTTTCTGAGCTTTGGACACCAAGGACTTAAAATGAATTAGACAAGACAGCTTTGCCTATACATGATTGCCTTGGAATCATTTAATAATTTCAGTTAATTTGCCTTTCAAAATATTTATAATCAGTTGTGGGTTTCTTTTCTTTTTTTTTTTTTTTTTAATTCTGGGGATTGAACCCAGGGCCTCGTGCATGCAAGGCAATCACTCTACCAACTGAGCTATAGCCCCAGCCCCTGTAATCAGTTTTATTCCATAAAACCATAGAGTGCTGAGTCCTAAAACCCAGTATTTGTAAAAATGATGTGACTATAGATGACTTAATACTGCCTTATATTATCCAGAACTGGTGACTGAGAAGGATCTTCTCTGAGGAAAGGCAAAGGCAGACTAAAGCATCTTCATATAGTCATTAAAATGAAATCCTGTGGGCCATAGTCTTTTATAAGTAATGTAAGCCATTTCAAACCTTCACTTTCCCAATACTTTCAAACGTATTTTAAGAGATTTGGGAGTTTAAATAAACCCATTTTGTAAGCAAGTGAGTCTTCTCCACTGAGCTCATATTGGTGAGTTTAAAGAGAATGCAAAATCATGGAGACTCTTTTATTAAAGAGCATTTCAATTTGATTTTTTGATCTGGGTCAATATCAGTAATGTGACTGATCTAAGCTCAACAACATACAAGCAGCATTTAGATTTGTATTTCACTCTCAAGTATCAATAGGTATCAGTTTTATCACACTGAGAGGTTATTTTATTTTATTTTTTGGTTTTTAAACCCAGTTTCACCCCAGTCTTCTTAGCTACTGCTCTGATGTCCTCAATCTCACATTTTCAAGTTCCCATCTTTTGAAAAACTTTTCCTTACATATTAATTAGAGACATGGGACAAATGCTACAGATGAAAGATGACAGCTTTCCGTCACTGTATAAGCTGGCGATGACACAGAATTGGAAGGCAGGTCGTAGGCTATGCTGGCGCTGGTGAAGGTTACCAAGGCTTGGGTTGAGTCACAGGACTGTTTCTCAACATCATCTGAGTTAACAGATATCAAGCTTGGGTGTTTTGATCTTGTCCAGAGGTGGGTTTGCTTTCCCAGGCTCCCCAGATCCTCCTTAAAGTGGGGATTGAAGAGGATGTAAAGAAGGGGATTGAGACAGGCAGGAAGTGGGACAATCACTAGAAGGATAAATTTAATTACTTCAGGACTGATAAATGTGAGGTTCAGCAAAGAGGAGAAGGATAAGAAAGCCACCGGGCAGTAAAGGATACAGTTGGTGAAGAGCAACAGAGCAATGTGTTTCACCATGGAACAGTCCCAGATATTCTCCAGGTCTCCCTTCTCCAAGTTGCAGTAGAGCTTGGTGTAGGCAATGGTCATTATGAGGAAGCAAAGGGAGTTGAGCAAGACAAGAGCCACCATGTAGCCAGTGGTGCTGGGTTCCCCAAAGGGAAGGGGCAGGCAGAGAGGGGAGGCACTGTACTCACTGCCACCCAGCAGGGGAACTGTGGCGATGGTCAGGGCCAGCAGGGCACAGAGCAAAATAATTGCTTTCAGGCTAGAAAAAGGAGTTTTCATTTCAAATCTTACAGAACACTTCACAGAAAACCCACGCTCCAGGGCTGCCAGAGTAAGCAGGAAAACAGATGATTCCGAAGCAAAAATGGACAAAAACCCAATGATTTGGCAACCGACCCCATTCTCCCACCATGCACCGTGCTGCGCAAAGCTGCCAAAAGTGAATGCATCTATGGCAGCCAGCACAGTGCTGGAGACACCCATGAGCATGTTCATCACTGCAATGACCCCAATCAACAGTTTTATGGAGGAAATGTACAGAGGGGATCTGAACACTGTTGAAATCACCAAGGTGTTGCAAGAAATCGCCAGAACTACTATGATCCACACTCCGATTCTGATCAGCCAGCTACCGAACAGGTGTTCACAGGGCTTGAAAGGGCCTGAAAGTTCAAGGAAGAAAAAGGCTGTGTTTCAAATTAGAGTTGACAACTCTTACCAAATTGTCCTTTTGTTTCTCTTATTAGGACAGCAAGAGATAAAGGCCAGTAACAGTCATCATAACTCACAGTACTGCATGGCATGCTCCACTTTCGCAAACCACTGTTGGGATCACCTTGGAGTTTCTGCCGCCCTGACTGATCACACCAGGTACTCATGTACATAGAGAATGAAAATGGGGCCTTCAGTCACTTGATTAAAGGTCTCCAAAATATAGCAGTGTTGGGACCAGGTGAAAAGCTATATAGCCTGCTCTTTTCATATTTTTCAGAATGCTTCAGTAAGGTTTCTACAGGAAGAAAATGAGAATCCTAGGGAAATACTTCATAACATTAGGATATCAAGTATGGGGAGTATGAATACACATTTCATGAAAGTCTCATCTTAGTTTTAGATTGACATTTGTTGTTAGGTAATGGTATAGTTTGGATCTTGAATGGTCCCCAAAGGCCCATGTAGTGAAGGCTTGGTCCCCAGTTTGTGGCCCTGTTGGGAAGGGGTAGAAACTTTAAGAGGTGAGGCCTAGTGAAAGGAAGTTAGGTCATTTGGGGCGTGGCCTTGAAAGGAATATTGGGACCCTGGCCCCTATTTTTCCTGTTTCTTTCCTTCCCTGCTCCCATGAGATGAACAGCTTCCTTCTCCATGTGCTACTGCCATGATATACTGTGCTGCAAAAGACCCAAAGCAATATGGCCAAGCAACCATGGTCTGAAACTATGAGTCAAAATAAACATTTTCCCTTATTAAGTTGATTATCTCAGTTATTTTGTTACAGGAAGGTGACAAACACAGGGAACAGACTTGATCTAATTGTTGAAAATAAAATATTAACCATTGCCAGTTGTCTTTTTTCAACTGGCTCATCTGTTTCTGGAAACAGGACAATTAAGTGAATTATTTGAGAAAAAAAAACAACACCACCAAACTTATTTATAAAAACCATTATTTGCTTTCACCAAATGGTTATTTATGTAAGAGAAGATTTAAATCACTTTTTAAAAGTCAGTGATTATAGAAAACAAGCCATTTCAGGCTAAAAGGCGAACTGGTTTAAGAATAACATATACCTCTAAATACATGCTTGATTCTTTAGTTTCTATGACCTGAATCATAAGTTTCCTACAAAACTCCCATTTTTGAATGGAGAACAATTCCAGGAAATGAACACTTATAAGTATTTTACACCCTTGTTCCCCAAGAGGGACACTGATGAGCCACAAGGTAGACTGGATTTAGTTCTGAAGTGTAGCCACAGTGTTGATGGCATTAGAATCAATAGTGGATGCTACAGCTGGGCATTTCTATGCTTCTCACCTGGAGAAGGTGAACACTGCACTGAATGAAGGGCTTTCAGGTCTTCCTCAAAGTCCAGCAGGAAATCTTCCAGGTCACGCTCATCTGCAGGAAGAAGACCTGGAATGATTAGTTCTATCTCCTTTCAAGGGACTGAATTCCAGGAAAGAGTATCTTGGGTCACCATCCAGATATAATCTGTCACAAAGGGAAGTGAAGGCAAGACAACCTGCCTTTCCCTGGGCTTTAGCTTTCTTGAAAGTCTATTATAAAGTTGTGTTGGACGTTCTACTCAAGCTCCTATGACGTAGTGTTCCATGGGTGAGGGAGAGTGACTCCAGACTCTAGGTTATAACATCTAAGCACTCTCATTCTGTTCTTGTTCCCTGGAGGTCTTGGCCTTAATTCTTACTAACCTAAATTATAGGACGACTATGGGCTTCTCCATATAGTGCAGGGGACACTACAGTAGCCATGGTGCCCAGGTTCTGGGCTGTGTTCTCTGAGCACAAGAGGGAGAATCAGGGACAATAATTTTCAATCTTCCTTGGGGGATTCTGTGTAACAGAGAACAAGTAAAAGTAACTACTTGGTACATGGTTTAACTATTCATGAAATAGGAGATTCACAGTCTAATACACTTTCCTAAAGATGTGAATTTGATTGTATTGTGTGGGACTTGGGCACCAGTATTTTTAGAAAGCTTCTGTGTGATTCTAACAGGGGGCCCAGAGTTGAGAATTACTGCTCTTGAAAATAATTTCTATGAAGGACCTTATTTCTCTTGTTTATTATGTACCTCCAGGGTCTAGTATAGTGCCTGACACATGGTAGGCACTTTAATTTTTTAAATGCATGAAGGTAGTAAAAATTAGAATGTGTAAGGCAAAAAGGGCAAAAACAAAGCAAGAACCAGAGCAAGATTCATGCTATGGCCTAAAATAGGGGGGAGGGAAGAAAAATAAAATGCGCCAAAGGCCAAGATATCAGCTCCTTAAGTCAATACGCACACAGGGAGAAATGTTAAGGTAATCCTAAAACAGACTGAATCACACTTGCTTTGGAATCAACAAATCATTAAGGCCTAAAGAATGAGCAGTCCTTCTGTTCAAACCCTGTGCAAACTCGCAGGGTTGGCAGGGAAAAGAGAAGGTGTTGCCTGAGGCGCCTCCCCATCACCACAGGTGTGGTTGAGGTGCATTGCTGTCTGTCTAAGTAACGTCTTACTTCAAGGAGAGCCAAGGGCCTCACAGACATTATCTCACTCCACTTTCCTGACAGATACCTGTGTGGGGGGTGAGTGGGGAGAATGATTTAGAATTGGTTGGATAAGAAGCTGAATTCTTAAGTCCTACCGTTAAAATACAGAGGAATGTCCCCAGGCCATAAGACTAAAAATAGATTTTGTCTTTTGGAGACAAAAGCTCAGCAGCAAGGTTGAAAAAAGTCCCCACAGGAATGGTACCTTTCTAAAAGTTTATGGAAATACCGATATCAGTAATCACCCCTGAGGACAACCCGTGATAAGGAAGATCTAACCATGAATATAAATGTTAAGAATTCACCAACAGAACAGATGAACTTTTATAATAAACCCAGAGGGAGCTTTCTCTTTCTCTGCAAGTCTTTCAAAGGGGGCTTGATTCTTGCTGGGTTGGTTACTTAAAGACTGGTCTGAGTTCAGATGATCTGTTTGATGACTTTTCTCGACCCTTCTGATCCCAATTTCATTACTGTTGACCTAGCGGGATTTACCTTGAACCAGAACCATCCCAGCATCTTTCTTATGAAGGTCATCCACACTGCTGTTGTCACCTTTATTCCACTGATTAGGAATTTTATAGATGTTCTCACACACTCCAAATTCACAGCACTGGTAAGCATAAGGCATTTCTATAATCCTTTAGAAGCACAAGACAAAAAACACAGCTTGAAAGATGGGTCATTAAATGGAGTGTTTGTCATTTTTTTTTTTTTTTAACCAAATGATTCTACCTTTGGATTTTAACCTAAATAAATAATCCAAATATAAATTCTGTGCATAAAGATGTTCATTACAGTGCTACTTATAACAATAATGGAGTTAATAAAAATTATCACCACGAAATGTTGGTAATTGCTGAAGCTGAGTGAGTCAACTTCCATCACTCACAGGATAGGAAATTTCCATAATAAAAGGGTTTAAAAAATGCTAGCAAGGGCTGGGGCTGTCGCTCAGTGGCAGAGCGCTTGCCTAGCATGTGTGAGGCACTGGGTTCATCCTAAAAACTAAACAAATAAAGGCATGCTGTCTATCTACAACTATACAAAAATTTTTTTAAATGCTAGGAAAACTATGGTAACATTATGTTGTAACATTATTTAAATAGCTAAAACTTGATATAAATATCTATGCATATTTTGTTTTTTTTTTTAAACCTTATTTATTTATTTTTAAAAATATTTATTTCTTAGTTTTTGGCGGACACAACATCTCTGTTTGTATGTGGTGCTGAGGATCGAACCCGGGCCGCATGCATGCCAGGCGAGCACGCTACCACTTGAGCCACATCCCCAGCCCTCTATGCATATTTTGAGTCTAATAATTAAATAAATGAAACAAAGTCTAGAAAGAAAAAACACATAAAAATGTTGTTTGGAGGGGCATTTTTTAACATTTTTTTCTCTCTTCCATTTTACAAACTAACTTTTGGCGTTATATTATTTTAATGATATTGAAAATATATTAAAAAGTATTGTGTTTAAAACATATGTATGTATATGTATGTATACACATATATACATATATAATCTTTCAAGATACTTCTTTACAGCTAATAAGCATAACAGGTTTTGAAGTGCACAACTTCCCCAAATATTAATTTAGCACATTTCAGTATAACATATACACAAGCTAGATCAATTAAAATTTGTAAACAGAGTACTATAATGTTATAATGTTATTTAATTATCTGTCCTAGTTTATGTTCAATGGATCAATGATTTTCAAACTCTTTCCATGAACTCTCTAATTCTGGGAGGCATCTTTGAGAAGGATGCCTTCATCCCACTTCAGGGCTTGTTCTAACCATGTCCAGGGGTGGGGGACTTGAGAGCATGAAATGCAATTCAAAAGTGTCCTGTGACCTCATAAATTTAGAAAACCACTATAACATGTCTATTATTTCACATGACTACAAACGTATCTTATTAGTTTTAATGACAAACTCACTTGAGTTCTGGAAAGTTTTCAGATGATATCAAGGTCTGTAAGGCATGATTTCCTGTTAATTTTAAGTGAGTTAAACCATGTAACCCAGTTACAGGAAAAGACGACAGGAGGTTGGACGATAGGTCCCTGCAAAACATCAAACAACAATTGGCTTTTAGTTTGTGTTAGCATAAAACGTTTAGGTTAAAAAAGCATTCTAAAGATGATTAAACTGCTCAATAAAAACTTCTAAGCAGAGTCCTGAGTCTTTTTTTGGTGTGTGTGTGTCTTTACTCTTAAGGGTAAAAGTAACCGTTTTTGGTTTTAGCTCTTGACAACTTTTCTATTTGCAATCAGAATTGCAGGGGGAAAAGTTTTAACTGCATCCAAATCATTCTGCATTTGATTCCATTTTGCCAAATGGAGATATCTAAAATCAAGGGGGAAGTTGTTACATTTATTTGAAAATTAATAGGAAGTAGAGATAAAAAAAAAAAAGTCAGGGCTTTATTCCCTCCCATCTTATCCTAAGTTCTACACAATTCTTATTTCCCTAGTAGATAAGAAAAAGGGAGAGAAAGGAGCAAGAGATGGAAAGAAGAGGAGGGAAAAATAAAGAGGGGGATGCACAGGAAGGTTTTCCATTAGTCAAGATGGCAAGCAATAAAAAAGGAAGCCCTTCAGAACTGAATTGACATCTTCTTCCGTTCCACCTGATTACTCAGCAAAAATGGACTTCACCTGAATAATCAGAACCAGCTGTCACTCAGATCTCAATTATCCACTTAAGGGCCCATATGGCCCTGTAGGAGCAGGGAAGCTCCTCCCTGACTGTGACATAGCTGTAGGTGGAAAATACATTATGTCTTCAGCAAAATCAATTTTTTATTATCTAGATGGTCCCCATTTATTAAAAGACATGCCATAAACAAGTAATGAAATACTCACAGCTTTATTAGTGATGGCAAAGTAGAAAATGCATCGGGGTGAATAATGGCAATTTTATTCCAAGCTAAATTCCTGTTTTTCAAGAAAGGACCAAAGAGACGATTACATATGAAAAAAAGAACATGTGAGGTTTTACCATATGCATTTAGTTCTCTATCAAAATTTAATTTCTGTACAGACCAAGCACAATTAGCTCATCAAACTGTCCTTCAGATAAAGACATTGATAATATAAAATGACTAAAGAGAGAACTTCAAATCAACTTTGTTTGAAGCAATCAAGGCCAAGTCATTCAGGTAGATATTTTGGGTTTTTATTCTCTTCTTGTTAAAAGGTTGACTTTAAAATGGCTGTAAAATTTTACTAGGGCTTTTCTAAAATGAGTGGGGGTAGGAGAGTGGGAAGAGACAAACTTTTGAGGTTCTTCTTCTTACAAGCAAGTAAATTTTTAAAAATGTCTCTGGATATGTAATGAAACACAAGTTAAAATTTGTGCATATCACCTATATATGTCAGACCTTGAAATAAAAAGATGCTTATAAGAAAACATCCAGGAAAGGATACTGATAAGAAAAAAAAAATCCTGTTGTGTTGGGAATCAAACTCAGGGCCTCATACACTCTAGGCAAACTTGCTACTGCTGGCTTGGAACTTGGATCCTTCTGCCTCAGCCTCCCAAGTTGGCTGTGATTGCAAATGTTTGTCACCATGCCTGGCTTCTGATAAAAAGACAATTCTTACCTAGGATATGACTAAAATAGGGGCAAACATATATATTTGCCTTAAAATTCTTTTTTTTTAAATTAAACTTTAGTGTTTTAGTTTTTGATAGAATTTTATTTTTATTTATTTGTATGTGGTTCTGAGAATCGAACCCAATGCCTCACACATGCTAGGCAAGCACCCCACCACTAAGCCACCACCCCAGCTCCCTGCCTTAAAATTCTTTGATAGCCAAGAAAAACTATGGTTTATGGGAAAATAAAATTCGCTTGCCACATACAGAGTGAAATGTAGACAATTAAGTTGAAATAATTTCTTTTATAAAAATGTCTATAAGTCATTAGAGATAAGAAATTCTATATTTTAAAAAAAGGACTATGAATTTAAGATTTTTATTTTTAAAATGTTTAAAAAGTAAGGGTAACTAAGATATAGGCATTTGAAAAAATTGAAAGATCAAAGACAACTTTTCTCAGGTGAAGATGTATATAACATTGGGCCCCTGAGTTACCCTGGATGAATGTAATTTCAGAATATTCACATTCCCATTTGAAAGGTTCCTTAAGGGGACTTTCTTCCTTTTTTGGAGGAAATCAGAAGTCTTTGCACTGATCTCAGAACAGAAGATGGCAGGTAAGAAGCATGGCGGGTGGGAAAGCTTACAAATGGCAACTGTCTTCCATTGAGCTGCTCCAGGAATGCAAACCTACTGAGGTAAGTAACACCATCTGTTAAAGTCTTTTGGCAGAATTAAGAGCATAGGCATCCTGGGGAGCTTCGCATCGTAGTAGAATATCTGGAATGTAAACTGATCCTGCCATGGGGCTTTATAGTGATTTGATTGGGTTTTAAGTAAAGAAGTACAAATTTAGATGTTCAAATAATGGTGCTTTCTGTCCAGTCTGCACATGCTGGAATCTCTGCAGCAGCCCTGAAGGCATCATCTTCCACTCTCTTGTCCTGCTCTGTTTGATTTCCCAATGGGGACCCCAGTAGGGAGAGGCCAGGTCAGGGCACTTGTGGTCTGCTCCTTCCCTGTTTTGGAATCTACATAGGTTCTCAACCACTGCAAGCCTCTCCATGATCAAGCTCTTTCTTGCTCTGGAAACACAATTTTCTCCCAGTATCTCTTTAGCCCTGGTCTTGGTGATGCTGCTGGTTTCTGCAGATCTAATACCCTTGCTTGCTCACTGCTGCACCTATGTAGGTGACCCTTTATTTGAACTATTGGGGGTGAATTCTGTTTCCTGCCAGGATCTTCACTGATATACTCTGAAAGACTATATACTTACTCTAATAATAACAACATTGTTACATACTTACTATGTGCTAGTACAATTACGACATTTTTTATATGTGCTATCTCATAACCTTTACATGTGCTATCTCATAACCTTCAACACCCCTAAAAGGTAGATACTATTATTATCCCTATATTACTGATGAGGAAGTGGAGATATATGTGAAAAGTCAGTTGCTCAAAGTCACAAAGTAATCTCAGAAGCTGGATTCAATCTCAAGCTTACTGGCTCTGCAGTCCCTGATCTTTTCTCATGTTTGAACTCTTAAGTAAATAAATGAGAGAGCCACTGCACTAAACCCTGTAGAAAGAAGACAAAAAAGTTCTTGTTTTAGGTGGGGCATAGTTCATCCGATGACAATGCCAATGTTAAGTCCTACAGTAGAGAATGTGCAAAAGTGCATCAGAATGGAGTGGGCTCAAAGACAGACCATCTGTCTTGTGGGATGTCAAGGGGACAAATGAAGTGTGGGGAGGAATCCAACAGTCAATGGGAAGGAGAAACAGCAGCCAATGTGACGGGACTGGGAAAGTGTGGGAGACAGAAGAGGCAGAACCAGGAGTTTGTAATCAGATTTTGGAGAGAGGTGGGATATCGAGTCTTGATCTTGAAGATGGCAGGGGAATAACAAGAAGGTGTCCCAAGCAGGGAAGCTGTGGACTTCTACGTAAGAAAGATTGCTTTTACATCTCTTTGGAGAATGAATGGGTGGTGGCAAACAGGAGGAGGAGGAGGATGGTGATCCTGATGAGTCACTAGGCCTTGGTGGGAAGAGTGGAGAGAGAAGAAATTGAAATTGGCAGAGTTAGGAAGTGACAGGATGTGAAGTCTAAGGGAAAGAGGAATTCAGGGGGGCTCCAATTTAGCCTTTGGAGTCTGTGTGACATTCTTCTGGTATCTTTAGAGGTCAGCCTGTTAAAGGAGAACTGACTTTTGAAAATAGCCACAACTCAAACCTGCTGGATAGGACAGGTAATAAAAGTAGATTGTGTATGTGTGTGTGTGTACACACACACACACACACACACACAAGTAAAATAACTACACAAGTAGACATAATGCAAAAGTAAGAAAAGGGCAACACACAAGAGGTTTTTGTTTTTTGGTGGGGGGAGATAGAAGAAAGTGAATAAATGAGGTAAATTTAAAATGTTTTAAGATGTGATAGTATTTTACCAAAGTAGAGTTGCTCAAAAGCTAAGAAAAACTTTAGAAGTCAGTGGAAGAAAAGGTTTTTAACAAACATACTACTTCATTCTAAACATTATAATATCATCACCATTCATCAAAAATCTTGTTGAATTCAATTTCAGGATAGAAAAAATTTAACTGTCATTTCATAAAATTATCTGTTTCTCTTTTTTAAAGTAAAAATTTAAATAATACCACTTCTTAATTTTAAAAACAGGCAATGTTTTCAATCATAAAATGGAATTAAATTATTATAAGTTATAATTTCTTGAGTAATGGAAGTATTTTTTGGACAGTTATGCTCTAACCTTAAGGGTCTTGTTAAAATGCAGATGCCCAGGCCCCACAGCAGAGATTTTAACTCATGAGGCAGTTGAGGACCTGAATTTTGCATTTTTTTTTTTTTTACCATCACCTCCTTAAGCACTTTGAGACACATAGAACCTTAAACTAGGAAGGAAAATGAGGCAGGAATAATTGTGTGATCATCCCATTTTTGTGCCAACTGCCAATTCTAGGCTGAACAGAAGCATATTGTATAGGCTCTTCAACAGCTTGGTTCCTTATCTTTTCATCAAAGTTGCATGTCTGCTCACTGGCAGAGAGCAGAACTGTAAACTTATTACTTTTGAATTTATTCCTGGAAGTTATCAGAAGCAAAATATTTGCCTTTTCATAGCAAATATATGCACCGAGACCCAATAATGTGAGTATGGAATGAAGAGAAAATGTTAGGGAATGGCCCCCAAGAGAAGGAAAGTGCTCTGTGTTGTGGTGGGTGCTGGGAGGTGGTACTCACAGAGATCGGAGGCCAGGCAATTGCTGAAAAGTGTTGACTTTAATTTCATAGATTTCATTATGTTGGAAGTCACTGAAATGACAGAATTCCGAAGACTGATTTCAAAGTTACAGGTTTCAAAGATTACAAAGTTTTACAGAGGAATTACCTGTGACTATTAAGTAACTTTTTTTTTGTTTAAAAATGAAAATTACAATTATGCACTTAAATAAGCTGCTCTCTTTCAAAACAGCTCAGTCCCTTGGGAAGATATAAAACCATATTCCAGACATGCCATCATCTTTACAAACACTTGAGGATGCCTCTCCTGGCCCTGCCCTCAGAGTTCTTCTTGTGTTCTTTGAAAGTCTTCAGGAGTGTCAAATCTTTACCTTTTGAAAGATACATTTGCTTTATTTTTCTGTCTTAATCACTCCAAGGCTTTTAGAGAAAATTGCAAGTGTGAAAGGGTAGATGGTTAATATTGTTTTGGTGAAAGTGAAGTCTGACTATAAAGGCATTGGGCTGATTTTTTTTAGGAGATGTAATTAAATATTATAATTCTTTAATTGATTCAAATAATTTACTTAGGTCAAAAATGTTTCATGCGTAAGTAGCATCTGTGGCACTTCAACTATGACAAATATGGCATCTCCTATAAAGCTGGCAGTTATGAAACAAACACAACAACAAACCCAAGTCCTCCCATATTAAAAAATAATAATAATAATACCAAATCATTGATGTATACATTTGGTTCTACTTGTAGAAGAAAAATTCCAAAGCTTAGACAACCCCAGTTCACAACTTCACAGAGGTGGGGTGTGGGGGCAGGGCGGGAAAGCAGATGTATAATAAATGCTGTGTTGATATTATAGTACAAAGCATCATAAAGTATTATGGCCTGTTTTCCAGTAAGTCTAGTCGCTGACAAGATCACACTTTATGTATGTAAGAAAAAATACATTTCGTGTCTTGCCAGTGAGCCACATAGTAAACCTGAGTTGGGTCTCTTTTTTTTTGCCAGGTAACTTAGGGACTCTCATAGACGTACATTTTCTGAAGCTTTTGGCAGACTGAAAAACTGGGTAGATCTTCTAACAGGTTGTAAGACAGATCTCTGAAAAACAGAACATGTTATACATTAATTGTGAGGAAACATGCCTTTCTCTTCCTTTTCTCTCCAAGATATTATATCCCTCCCACCATAGGCTGACCCTAGAAGCTTCCACAGCCCTGCCAGGCAGCAGGTAGTCATAGGCATTATTGGATTAAGTAATGGATTCCAATGTTTACAGAAATGTAAATATTCTAATTCTTTAATTGATTTAAATAATTTACTTACTTATATTTCATTAGTGATGATCTACAATGTTCTAGCTATTATTTTACTGAAATGAGTACAAATTAAATAATCTGTCTTTGAGAATCTTTATATCTCTATAGCTAACAGAAATCATTGTTTTCTAATGAACTTAAAAACAAAACCCAACAATTCAAAACAGCGCTAACTTTGAAATCAACACTACAGGTGGGGGAGGGAAATCTAAGAAAGTCTTCAGCCAAAACACAACAAATTACAGAATAACAAAAACATCTGGACATATTTATAGTATAATATAGCTAATCTAAAACAAGCCATGGTAATTTGCAGAAAGTTAAAAAAAAAACTGGTAACATAGATAGATTTTTAAAAAACTTCTCATGTTTTAAAAGTTATTAGCTAATCAACTAACACATTTTCTTGCCTGATTCTAATTCTTAAAACTAGATCACCAGTAAGCAGCTGAAAAAATTCATGCTGTTTTCTAAGATACTTTAAAATTTCTCTATTTTTACAGTGGATCACTTTATCTTACATTTTCTGAGGAAATGGTGTTTAGATAGGAATAGAATTCAGTTATTAAACATAAATAGTTTGAATAAAGGTGTTTGCAGATGCATATTTGTAGTTCATACTAGAAGTTTGAAAGATGACCCTCAAATTCCAAACAAAACATACCAAAGCAAACAAAAAATTCCACATCTATGCAAAAATACACCTGATTAACAATGTAGTATGTATTTTTGAAAAGTAGTGAATGTATTAAAATGGACACATGTATTATCAAAGATGATGATAATTTGGTTTACTCATCTGTATAGGCTGCAAAAGGGGCCAAACCTTTCTTGTACACATTTTAGTAGAAGGTACATAAAATCTTCCATATAAAGCCATAGCATTGCTTTCTACCTTCTACTTGATAGTTTTCATAGCTAACATTGATTACGCACTTTTTATATAAAGGTACCATGTTTATAGCTTTACTTGGATTATCTATTATGAAGGAGATACTATGATTATCGACATATAATAATGAAATGATTTACCTAAGATTACCAGCTAGTAAGTGGGGAAAGTCACATATAGCCTGAAGTGTGGGTCAAACAATTCCCAAGAGGGTGAAGGAACTTGGAGGCAAAACAACACATATACAGTGAAATTTCCTCACGTCACAGGTACTCAGTGGACATTACAACCAAAGGAGGGTCTGTCTCAGACATACTTTCAAGTACATAAAATATCCTATATAAAGGCCACAGACCTGGTTCTAGTCTCCACTTCTATTAATTCAACTTGGTTAATCTGCATTGGTGTCTTTCTCAGTTCTCTCCTTAAATAGGAAGACACCTGCTTTGCTGATCTTTCAGGGGTGTCGTAATGGGCAAATGACATTACAAGTTGAAGTGCTTTGAAAACAAGATATTGTATTAATGTATTTGGGTTCTTTGGGGTCTTTCAAAAAATATTTCAGAAAAATAGGTTCAGGAGTCTTTGCTCTTAATGAGTTTGCCAGTTGGCCTTTATTTCTACTCTTCTGTACCTGGCAGTTTAACATTCACTATGTGACATAGAGGAAACAGATGTAATTTGAACACCAGCTCCCTTCCTTTCAGTTACATTATGTGAAATATTAATCAGGTTATTGATCCAGATTCCTCAAGAAATGTTGTTAATTATATCTATTCAGGGTTTCACAAGCAGAATTTAACATTGCCTCCCAAACTTCTACTACTTGCTGGATAGACACTTTCTCCTATTTATTCAAACTGACTATTTGAATTCAAACTCTGTTATTTTCTTGTAATGTGACTTTGCAATAACTCTGACATTCCTAATTCTCAGTTTTCTCATCTGGAGCTACACCTCATAAGGCATAAAGAAGGGGAGACTTGCTCTGTCTCCCTTCCTTCAGACACAGGTGCCTGATTCCAAGCCTACCATGTGGTGTTACTGTACCACCAGATCACTGAGCAACTGGGGTATCTACAGTTAATGCAGGACAGATGAGGCTGGACCTGAGGATTTTTCAGGAAGCAGGTTTATTTAAGCAGAGGGGCTCATGCCTAACAATCTCTGGGCCCTGAGTCTGGAAATTCTTTGAACTTCATGCCCAGTGGGTGGGAACTTAACAGTTACTCTTTGTCCCATATTCTTAGGCTAGACAGAGGTTTTAAAACTTTTTACCAAGAAAATAGAGATAGTATCTTTAGCACAGCAACAAGCTCTCTTTGAGACAGACTCTACCACACCTTTTGTCTGCAAACCTGGCACTTACAAGAAAGAGGAAGCTTCAAACCACAATGCTCTCTGCAGAAATCCTGTTGACAAGTTTTGAATCATGTGGCAGATATTCCCATTCTTCTACCTAGCAAATATAGTGCTGTGTGTTGTTCTGCTGCTAAGTAAAGCCTGTGGTGGAATTACAGGCATTGAACCATGATAGGTGTCTACTATGTGAGAGCAGAGGCATGGCAAGGGACCAAGGGCTCCTCTACTAAGGCCCAAAAATGCTTAGGAGGAAGGTAGTAGAGTTGAGGGGGGCTGAGGGAGAAGGCAGAAAGTAGAAGGTCAAAACCAGGTTCTTCAAGTCCCTATAACTCAATTTTCATAAAACATAGAAAAGGAAGTGGGAAAAGTCCCAAGTCAATAGAATAACATAAGCAAGCTGTTTAAAGATTAGGTGAAACATTAGAACATGGTACCCCCAACTACGAGAAGAATGTTTGGTCACCTTTACCAAGGTTTATGCCAGTTTGAAAACTTAGTTTTATATTTTGGCATTCAGCTTGGGCTGTTGATCCATTACACTATTTTGTTCTGCTCTGCAAAACCTTTAGAGGAGGAAATGAAGTAATTTTGGCTTGTTTATATCCATTTTCTGAAAGGCGTGCCAACTGGAACTCTCCTAGATGACTGTCAGCACTTGGAAACAAAGGGCACAAGGCCATGGTTACTGGGTCATGGTAGAGAGCCTGGACCAAAGCAGCCAACGGAGGAGGACTGACCTCCTAGAGACCTGCAAGGAAATAACTTTCTCCCCTTTTAAAGGATTATTAAAATAATGGCTGCCATTTTACTCCTAAATGGAAGTTGTCTATTTACACAATGTTATCGCCTTACTGATACGCACAGCACTTGGAGATTAGGTAACTGATCACAGACGGTTTGAGGAAGAGATGAGATCTGTGCTCCAGTTAAAGTCCTGTTAAAACACAAACCAGACATTCACATATCACACAATGACATGTTTTGATTCACTGATGTTAAGGCTGATCAGGCATAAGGTCAGTGTATGTTCTGGCCAAAGTTAAGAGCCTACTCAAGTACTTACAGACTTTCCAGGTTGGCAGTTCCAGTTAAATCAGGAAATTCAGTTATTTGTGAGGCACCATTCAAAGTCCTAGAAAGAGAAATATGTAAGTGTTACATATTGTTACATATGTGTTACATATTTGAGAAGATTCCAGAAAGGGGCAGTTCTTATTGTCATTTTCAAAGCACTTCAACCTATAATACTCATTTGGTCTTCACAGAAATTCTTGAAGACAGAAGAGAAACAGGTACTTGGGGCTGGGGATATAGTTCAGTTTAGCATGCATGAGGTTCTGGATTCAAGATCAGTACTATAAAAACAAAAACAAAACAAAACAACAAAAACAAAAACAAAACAAAAAACAGAAACAGATGCTTACAGTGTTCTTAGTTCAGGCAAATGTTGAAAAGCAGATCTCCCAACAAATTGGATGGGGTTGTCATAGAAATGTCTAAAAAAAAAAAAATGCAAACACCAATGTCTTAGAATATCTGTTCGAAATGAATATGTTTGAAATTTCAACAAATACATGTATTTATGTAATTCTAATTATACTATATTACATAACATTCCTGATTATTTGATTCCAGGAAAACCTCAAAAGTGTTTTGACTTACATTAGAGACTTTTGGTAAGAAATCCATATTATATCAAATTTAAAATTTCTGACAGCAAGGCAGTTATAAATGATAGTTATTAAGCAAAAAAGCAAGTGAACTGACTGTAACTGTACTTAAAAACTTTCTCAGCCTCCAATACCTGTATAGCACCAACATTTTAGTGGCAAAAAGGTAATTCAAAGTATTGGTAATTGTACCATTAAAGAAAAATGTTTATATATCTATATCCACTGAAGGTTCTATCTGTGGGTTAAATATCATCATAACACAAGACTCTCTAAATTACTTAAGAGAAAATGGGGTTTTTCTCAACATTAGAGTTTTCTCAAGTTAATTATCACTTTAAAAGGTGAGATATTGGGATTGAGGTTGTGGCTCAGCAGTAGAACACATACGAGGCCCTGGGTTCTATACTCAGCACCACATTAAAATAAAGGTATTGTGTCCAAATAAAACTAGAAAATAATATTTTTAAAAAAGGTGAAATATTATTAGAACTTAAAAAATAATTTTACAGATATTTTCAATGTTATTTGAAATATATTTGAATTGCCTGGTCAATGGAGCCCCATATACTTAGCTGAGACAGCTTGTTAATTCAATTAAATTCAACAAATATTTATTGATGTCTGCTATGTTCAAAGCATGAGGGTAGGCAATATGGGAATTGGAAGACTGATCTATTAAAGAAGCTGTCATTGGGTATCCACTATGCCTGTAAGCATTATTCTAGATGGTGGATTTTTAAAGAGGCATGGCAAAATGTTCCTGCCTTACAAGATTTTGGAATCAGTTGGGATAAAACAAATAAATAATAGCATATTACTTTCCACTTGACAAAGCATTTCCATATAGGCACACATCAACTGAGCCATGCAGCAACTTTGATCCATGGCATACATATTATTTTCTTCATTTTGGAGGAGAGAATTGAGGCTCAGAGACCTCAGAAAGCTCATTACCTCCTAGATCCTCAATTTTCTAATTTGTTAAACAATGATACATTAGCCATATGCTTTGTGTTAAGAATTAAAAGAGCCAATGTTTGTTTAGTGTCTGGCAAAGTACCTGGGCTACAGTTGTTACCTAATACCTTGGTCCTCTTGTGTTCTACCCTCTAACCTCTTCTTTTTTTTTTTTTAAATACTGTTTTTTAAGAGAGAGAGAGAGAGAGAGAGAGAGAGAGAATTTTAATATTTATTTTTTAGTTTTCGGCGGACACAACATCTTTGTTTGTATGTGGTGCTGAGGATCGAACACGGGCCGCAC